AAAATGAATATTGATAAAGTTTACCTTTATGTACAGAATCTGAATATCGCAAAATATTTTAAAAAGGTGCAATAATATTGTATCGTGCGTTAAGTATTGTGATAATATCGTATCGTGGGATGTATGGGGATTCCCACCTCTATTGGAAATGTACTAACAACTGTAGCAAATCCACATGCTAACTTTGGAAGTGACAATTATACAACTAAAAGTCGCAGATAGAGTTACTTTTGTGGCTGATTTTATTGAATATTTGCAGGCGTTTCCATTTCAGAGGAACACCTTTTGTTTCTAATACTTTTGTGATATATAAGTTTTAACTCATTTTAAATGCCGTGTGGAGGTGTTCTCAGAAATACACCTGTGGATGGCTCAAAGCTGTGAATGTGGTGGTAAAACATTGAAGCTTTAAGCTCTAAATCTTATGACTTTCCAAAACATTGACTGTGGAAGACTCAAATTAACTTCACTTGCTCAGGTGGGCAAATTAGCATTAGTACGCAACAGCAAAACTGCTTAGATTGGAGTGTAACGCTCTGCAGGTGAAATTAGCGGATCAAAAAAAACCCAAGCCTAATAAGGTAAGAAGTCATCTGCAAACCAAAATCTTACTATGTAGGCAAATTTTTCATGTTTCTCTTCTGAAGCAGTCTGGCAATTCAGATCAATGAGGGGCAGCCGCAATAGAATCATTCTATTTTTGATGTCCATCCCTGTCAATTATCCACTGCTTCTGACACCATTGCCTCTTGACACTTCAAAGAAATTTACACTCCTAATACACAGAAGACACAAAACAAGACACTCTTATTGCCGGCATTAAATTTAGTGCAATTTGCAGTAAACTGCATGCCATAAACTTTAACGAATCATGTTTTTGTGATTCATTTAAATACTTTCCTTCCAAATTGTTGTGGAGCTCTTACAAATATTGTCACTGCATCTGTTTAGTAAATCCCAACATGCGCTTTTTAACACCAAAAGAAGGCCTTGGCTGGAAGAGACAATTATTAAATCTGGTTCTTGAAATGTTATTTTAAACAGACAGCTCTGAAATGCATAAGCCTGCGGGTATTGAAATGCAAAATACTTTCATGTGGTAATTGTTTAAGGTGGTGAAATGCACAGGATAAGCTACACCTTGAGCAAAGAGAGGTACCAGTCCTTTTCGCAGATGCCTTTCCTACCAGTTTAAGGTCAGATGGCGATGCATCAGAGTTTCTTATTTCTTTGACTTTAGACTTTAGTAAGCTGCGGGTAAATAAATTTGAATTTGAATTTATTTATTTACCCGCAGCTTCACACAACATTCAGGAAAAAAGACAGAACGCTGCACACATTTACACGTTTATGTCATTAACACATGGATTTGGCTAGGAATAATATTTCATGTTATTCTGCACACCCACAGGTCAGCTGTACAGTTCTATACAGCAGACGTGTTCGTAATAAAGCAGCCTGGCTCTGCATAACTAGAAGTGGGTGTATAGACAAACTTTGCCCTTAGTGTGCACATTTATCTGTGAATGCACGATATGCATTGCCTCCTTGCAACATATATGCAAATAAACCTTAAATGAAGGGAGCGTCGTAAAAACTGCTGCGGCGAGGCATTTTGCAGTTCAGCACCTCAATATAATGCTCAGAAAGTGCGGCAACATATGTGGAGTTGTGGTTGTCATTGTCACATAAATCATGACACCGAGCATATAGCAGCACATCAGCGAAAGGTTAGACAACGTAATTAACTGCGAGGCATTCAAGGAGCGGCTGTGTCAAATCGGCACACTCTTACTACATACACCTTGTATTCAGATACACTTCATCACTCCAGGGATGACATGCCTGCAATTAAAAAGTAATGATTCATTCTACCGCTGCACTGTGAGGCAGAACAGATTTAATGCAGCGCTATTATTCTGAGACAAGATACTTTTAATTTTTTTTATTTATACACAGATCAGCAAAATCTTGATGCTGATGTTTAGAGTCAGAAATGTAATTTAATATTTTGAGATATTTAACCTCTGTTGCTGAAGCTGCCCACTGTCCATGAGCGGTTCAATAAGCTCCATTCCCTTAAGCTTTCTGGCTTCGATGGTGCGCTAGTTAGCCAGAGACACTAATGATTGAAGGTAACATTAGAGTATGTAAACACACAGTCCAATACTCCTTTCAGTAGCGCCACACACAAATCATCAGAGAAATTCAAAGCTTGCCAGCGCTGTCACGCTTTGATATGGTTGCATACCTATAATAAGGTCAAGTGCAATTCACTCAAGGGGGTTAGCAAATGGTCGATTAAAATCTGGGTACGGTGGTTTTAGATGTCAGTTTAAAAGCAATGCATGTGAAACATTCAGTTGGGTAAGCTGCTGCACATTCAACTTTCAATAACTCCATCCAAGGACGACCTTTCAACGTCCTTTTATCAAACACTTCAAAATTAATAAATAAATAGTGACCAAGCTCACCTGCATGTAAAGTTTGATCCTTCACCATCACTGCAGGTGGCTCCGTTAAAACACAACGAGACATTAAAAGTAGCGTCTTCGCAGACATCTATATCCTCCTCGCAAGTTTTCCCCGTGTAGCCGACCTGACAGAAGCACGCATATTTATCGATGAGATCGACGCAGGAGCCTCCATTCAGACAGGGACTGCTGGCACATTCCTGTCAATGAGAAAATACCAAAGATTCACATGAACGAGAGACTGTGGCAGGAAGAGCTTTTTAAAAAGATGCAACCATAAAATACACGTTTGTCGATGTAAAGCTCATAAGGGGTGATTAAATAATGAAAAAAAAAACCTTTTGATTAAGAATGAATTGTTAGTAGTTAAAATGCAGATGATCAGATCATTGATTCAGCAGAGACCTTGGTAGCAACTCAATGTTTTATCGCTACGGTCCGGCACAAAGCTGTGGTTTAGATCAATTAGGCATTAGACTAAGCAATTCCTTTTTATCGGGTATTTGCACAATGCTCACATGATCGCGGTAGTTCAATTCACTTATCTTGTAGGAATGTCAATAAAGTTAAAGATACCAAAGGCCACACCACCTCAGAGCTTACAAAATTCTCCTGACGTGTCGCTACAACGCACAGCTGCTTTATTAATTACACTCAACTCACATCGACGTTCGTTTCACATCTGCTGCCGGTCCATCCAGATTCACAAAGACAGGTGTATGAATATATTCCATCGTCACAGCTGAGAGAGCCACAACAGACGGGGTCAGAATTGATTCATCAAAATTATACTAGCGTGCAAAGTGAACTAAAAAGCATTTATTTGTGGAAGTCTTTTGCAGTATAGTCCATACAGAACCCTTAGAGACGGATGTAATCTTTCTAATGAATTAGTAATTCACCTTCAAAAGAATTAATGACTATAATTTAGACACCACTGAGACAACCTGTAAGTGCATTACATTAGCTCTTTACAACATGCGACATATGTCTCCACTCACTGCGCTGGCAAGGGGCGTAATTAAAAATAATTCCATGCTACTGCTGCACAATTTGCTGTGTTTCTGTTTTAAATGATGGAGAGAAAATATGTACCTCCCATGAAGGCAAGGCGTTGACATGCATTCATCAATGTTGGCCTCACAGCGGAGCCCTGTGAAGCCACCCGCACACAAGCAGTTGTATCGATTAGGCGCATCAATACATTTTCCACTATTCTGGCATGGGTTTGAAACACACTCATCGACGTCAACTTCACAACGTGGCCCTAAGAAATGAAATATATGTTAGTCAGAATTGTTTTATTAGAAAAACTTATTTTTTAGTTCTTCGGTACTCCAAAAGTTAGACACACACACACACAGAAGCACATTATGCATCTTTTTTAAAATTGGAAAAGTAAGTTTGATTTTGTCAAGTATGGTTTGAATTTTTTTTCTAACCTTGTAAACATTCAAATATTGTACTACTTGTTTTGTCCTAGAAGTTTCATTGAATAGGTAATGAATAGTGTCCTGCCGTTCACAGAGTTCACGTTTGGTAGTATTTGTTTTTTTATAACTCTTATAATATCTACTGTCCTGTCAGCCAGGTTTTGAAAAAATGATTTTTAATCTCAATGAGACGTTTACTTTAATAAACAGGGGATACAATAAAAAAGTGGACTTTAATTTACTTGAAACAACACAATGTACATGTTCTAAAACACAGTTATCAACATGTTTATCACAATGAGGAAATACTCATGTAATATATCAAATCCTCTGCTGTTTGCCATGTGCTTCTATGGCAGAGAGAGAGTTTATCTACGATATATACAAAAACTTGTCAGGAACAGCTCACTGTTTGTCATTTCAAACTAAAAACCGCCATCTTTATACTTTAATGGCAACCGCTGCATCATATTATCTTTTCAAGCTATGCATCCCTTACTGACTATGGTTACCACAACGGACGTATAATTTTAACCTGTCCAACTAAACCTGTTTTATTATTTCCAGATACATCATATAGTATAGATGACATACATGCAAAAACTCTCCTCACCTTTGTTTTTTGATGAGCATTTACAAGAATAATGGCCGAACACTTCATGTCAAAGTATCAAATACTTGTGGTAATTATGATCTGTCAAGACATATTGCCTTAAGCATTAGTTGGCCAGTCAGACAAAAAGCTTTAGAGAATAGCAGTGCACTGAAAACGATTGTCTGAGTCGATGAGTAATTTCTTCTTTGACCAGTAATAATTTATTTTCAGATTTCTGCAAAATCTGTCAACAAACTTATGGAAAAGTTAAGGAGCATAAGGAAATTTGCAGTTAATAGACTAAAGCCTTGAAGATGCAAAACTATTTCCTAGCAGTGTGATCTTACTGTCCAGATAAAGCTGCATCACCAGCATGTTTTTTCTCTCTGATCTGTTTGGTAAACTTTGATGCACTGTGATCACAGGCTGGCAGGAATGGTAAACATGGGTGTGCTGTTTACCATTGCATAAGGATTTCTGGGTTTTTTTTTTTTCTTTTTAATGATGTTATGTCTTGCTTTCACATTATTCTTTAATATGCAACTTGAAAGTTGTAATGCTTGCTCTGAAACACTCAATTCAAAGTGGTTTTAACTTCTTCGTGACCGTGCATTAATAGCACTGGCTCAAAGCACGGAGCAGAAATATGGCTATTTGCTGAAGTTGTTTAAGTTTTAAACATCTACGTTCGATAAAATATCATTTGAACTCTGAGGGGATATTGGATTTTAGATGATAGGGCTTATGGGGCTAATAAAACTGTTTGCTATATGGAGTGTGTAAAAATGAAAAAATATAACTGCAGATCTAAAACAAGAAGGAAAACAACACATAACTGACAAAGACACGGTCCGATTGTACTTTGTGAAAGTAAAGATTTAGGTATTCGATTGTTAAATAACTAAAGTTCAAAACAAGAGCTGAAACAACTACTTTATTATTCTTTTCCTGATAAACAGATAAAGAATCTTCAGCATCTTTGGAAAAAAATGAAATTAAACAGTGAAGTGTCAATCGCTAGTTTCAAATTGAAGAATTTCTTAAATTTCTACTTAAATCACTATCTTAAATCTAGTCTCTCGATCAGATCAAAGAAGCAATCTCAAGTCATTAACCCGAGGTTGACACATAAACACAGCACATAAACAGAAAAGACCACTTTTCATAGTAACCTTAATCTCAACACTTATTTAAACTCACTGGCCACTTTATTAGGTACACAATGGTAGTAAAAGGTCGGGTCACTCTTTCTGTCTTCAAAACTGCCTTCCGGAGATTCAACAAGGTGTTGGAAACTTTCGTCACAGATTTTGAGCCATATTGACATAATAGCATCACACGGTTGCATCATCATCATCTCAAGGCCATCCTGCGCTCAATTCTGACATCAAGATAACATTCTTCACTCATAGCACTGCAACTCATGGGTTAGTTTCATATTTTTGGACTATTCTAATCCTAAAAATAGTTCAGTGGGAAAATTCCAGTAGATCAGCACTTTATGAAATACTCAAACAAACCTGTCCGACACACATCAACAACCATACCACATTCAAAGTTACTTAAACAAATTTTTCGCCATTGTGTTGCTTGCATTAAACTTCAGGAGGTCATTTTGACCTTACCGCTTATCTGGATTTGGGTCGCAGAGGCAGCACACTCCTCCTCCAGCTTATCTGAGGGAACATTGAGGTGTAACTAGAAGAGCAAAGAGATATAATCTCTAAAGCTAGTCCTGGATCTGCCCTGGAGCCTCCTCCTGGTACGACATGCCCCAAACACCGAGAAGGCGTCCCTGAGGTATCCTAGTCAGCTGCTCAAACCACTTCAACTGGTTTCTTTCGATGTGGAGGAGCAGTGGTTCTGCTCAGTCCCTCTCGAATGACGGAGCTCCTCACCCGATATCTAAGGGAAAGCCTAGCCACCCTTCGAAGGAAACTTATTTCCGCTGCTTGGATCTGTGACCTATGTACTGACTGGTAAATCAATAGCTTCACTTTTAGTTCAGCTCTCTCTTCACCACAACAGATCAGTACAGCATCTGCATCACTGCAGATATTGTCCCAGTCCATCTGTCAATCTCATGCTCCACTCTCCCCTCAATCGTGAACAAGACCTCAACATACTGTACTTAAACTCCTCCACCTGGGATAGTACTGTAACGCCTACCAGACCCAGAATGGGTACTCCACCCTCTTCTGGCTGAGAACTATGGGCCAGACTTTCAGGTGCTGATTGTCACTCCAGACGCTTCACACTGTGAACTTATCCAATGCAAGCTGCAGGTCACTACCCAATGAAGCCAACAGAAACACATCATCTGCAAAAAGCATAGATGAGATCCTGAGCCCACCAAAGTGGAGACCCTTCACCATGTAGCTACACCTAGATATCAGTGACAGAATCCATAACAAAAGGTGTCCCTAGCATAGTCCAGCACCCACCAGAAACTAACTTATTATGAGCACCAAACTCCCACTATGGTTATACAGGGACTGAATGGCTTGTACCAGGCCAGACACCTAATATTCCCCATACTTTCCATTTTCAGAAGAGTCCATTAAAATATAAATATACAAGTTTTATTTCTGTAACAATAAGTGATTAAAATTTCAATAAACTTATAAAATAAAATCACTTATGAAGAAAGGGAACTTTAAAATGCAAAAATAAAACAAATACAAACTGACAATTTAAAGATATGTAAAGTTCTCAAACAGATGCTTCCATCTACACCAGACTTGAAGGCATGTCGCCACCTGTTTTTAAACATGACTATAGTATTTCTTCATTAGACAGTAGTTGTAGTGAAAACTTTACAGTTTTTTTTTTGGAGAAGCCACCAAGAAACCCCAAAACTGTTATTTTTTAACGCATTTTCTTTTTTTTGTAACAGCCACAAAAAAATTCCAAATAAAATCAAAGGGTTTTGGCTGGCTACAGACTACTAAAGCCAAGTGCAATGTAATTTGGGTAGTGTGCCCCTGAGAGGGTTCACTGAACTGCAGCACTGAACTAATGGAAAAGTGTGTCTTATACTTTAAACGCTGATCATGCTGAGACTGCAGTAACCAGTGTCTACAAGGGCAAAAACCCCCACGCAAACTGTGCAATCAGACACATTTAAGATAAGGCTGAATATTCAGCTTTAGTGAGACTGTTGATAATATTCATTATTTATAAAAGGCAGCACAAAAATAGCATTCAGATCACAGAAGACGTGAAGAGGAGGAGAGAGCCGGGAAGGAAACACCAGATAACACAAACTGACAAAATTAGTCTCCCTCCTGCCAACAAATCAGAATGCAAGTTGGGAAGACACACTGATGATGTTCATAGGAGTCTAAATTACAGCAGGTACTGCTTTGCAGAGATGCACGTAAGTGACTTTTTATGCAGAGGAAATAAAAATAAAGTAATGTGTTTGGTATAATTCTACAAGGAGGGATTTCGTGATGTTATTTTTTTACTAAAGTGGTTGAAAAAGATTATTTAATAACCCTAAAATCTCTTCGGGACCTCCAGTAATCAAGAGATGAAAAATGACTACTGACCCATCATTAATCATTTGGTTGGCTTTTCATTTGCAAACCGAGCCAAAAGTAAACAAACAAAGTGACAACAGGAGCAAGAAACTCCTTTGCCTCCTGTGTTTATTCATGAAAGAGAATAAATAAACTGCCTTTTCTGTGCACAAAATCTATCATTTTGTCTCGTCACTGAATGTAAAACGATTCATTTCTTGTGCCAAAGAGATGAGTTGTTTGTTTTAGCCAAAAGGAAAGCTATACAGCAGTAAGGAAATTCACAGTTTATGGCTGCGAAGATACAAAACAACATAAAATAAAAGATCAAAGCTGAAATTTAAGTTTCTGAAATACAAAAGTGTGAAAATGTAAAAAACATGAAAAATTCCACGTCCTAGACACTTCCGTTTCATGCTATCATTAAAAGTGATGATCACACTAATGATTATTGCTAGATATATCATTTCAATAAAATGCAAGAATAAACTTTGTGTCACAAGTTGTGTTCACACATGTTTTTCAGTGACACAAACAGCTAATTTTAGATTCACCAATTAACTGAACACACACACTCACAGGCACATACAGCACGTTATGCAGACATCAGCTATCA